ATTCATTGGCAAGGCTTTCAATGTCTCATGTTGCGGTGTGGAACCAGGTCTCGACTACTTCCAAACATGCTGTTTCACTGACGTAACTCTACGAGAGAATTTCACCCCTTCCTTCTTGTCCCTGAACTTCATATTGAGGGCTGGCTGTGCCCGAGGTCCTGGTGTCACACCGCGTCCCGACTCCGACATGCGTATCTCCCTTGTTTGATCGAATCTGAGGCACAACATCACAGGATGTAATTGCGCATAACATGGTTCACTATCAGCTTCGAAGAGGCTTCCTCGTGATGTGCGTCTGAAGTCCAAACTCTGCCGTTTAAAGTACTTCAGTAGCACGACACTCTTAAATAACGGGATATCATTATAGTATGAAAGCAGCATGATCATCCAAGGTAAAATGGTACGATGTCGGTGAAATATTTAGACCACTGCAAACGGTCATGGGTTCGAGTCCCGGCAAAGTGAGTTTTTTCTCACTAAATAAATCCTGGTCTATGTTGGAAGCGACGCGCTGCGAAGCTCGTTGTTAGTAAACTCAATCGACTTCATAAGTCGCGAAGGGAAGGGATTGCTGTACCCTTCTCGCGATAAAAATATCTCAGGCAGGAACCGCAGGAGGGGGTCCAACCCCCCCCTCCTACTTGCCCCCGGTTGGGTCGTCTAGCTAGTAGAAGTGGAGGATAGGGGCGAGAGGGGCAGACGACAGAGGCCATGAAGGGAGAAAAAAAATGCATACGGACCTGATCAATTTCACTCTTTCCGTCCATGAAATTCGAAGCAGATACGGCGGAGAAATACCCTACACCAACTTTGACAGGCGAGGAACACATCATCTACCAACCCACACCTTCCGCTGACCCTTCTCCCATACTATTTGACACATGTGTACCACATTCATGGAAGCATATATCAGCTTCCATGGAGGTTGATCTACTTCCTCCATGGAAGCTGATTCCTGTTCCATGGAAGGCTACACGTTTCGGAAGCGCGAAACGACACTTCCATGGAGGAAGCGATATTCACTTCCATGGAACTAATAATACGAAATATGGATGTGCCACTTCCATGGGTGTTAGCTTCCACGGCAGTCCCATGGAAACCCAATGGAAGTGGAATAGCTTCCACGGAAGTCGAAACTTAGGCTTCCACGGGAGCTAACAGGTTTAGGGCAGCTTCCATGGAAGTATTCAGCCTCGGGTTACAGTAGCTTCCACGGTCTTATCGGGGATAGGGTTAGGGTTAGGGAAGCTGGAATGACTGTGTGTCCATACGCTTCTTTCGTGGTGTTGCTTTGGGTTTGGGTTCGGCTTAGGGTTAGGGTCAGGGTTTGCATTAGGGTAGGGAAGCTGGAATGAACACATGTCCAGACGCTTCGGTGGAAGTTGCTTTCATGGAATGTTCGGCGCGTCCACGGAAGAAGTCGGTTTCGACCTCTGCCACCCACTTCCATGGAAGTTGCTTTCATGGGAGTTTTCGTGCTTCCATGCAGTAAGTAGCAGGGCCTCGTCAAGCGACGAGCTTCCATGAAAGTAGTACTTCCATGGAAGCTCGTCGCGCTTCCGTGGAAGTTCGAAATGCAACTTCCATGGAAGCAACGAGCGGTTGATATCGGGTGTTTCCATGGAGGAAGCGGATCAACTTCCGAATTAACTTCCATGGAAGTTCTTTACCGCTTCCATGGAATGCATGGAAGCATCATGGAAGCTGGAGCAGATTCCATGAAAGTCAGTTTGCCTTCCATGGAAGCCATCTAACTTCCATGGAGGAAGTCGATACTGACTTCCATGGAAGTAATTGTGGTTCCATGGAAGGGGTAACCACTTCCTTCCATGAAGCAGTGAACCACTTCCATGGAAGCTTATTCCGTTAGCCAAATATAGTGTAAGTTACCCCAATCGCCCTTCTCCACACCTTGTGCAGCGTCCGAAGCAGTTTCCGACCCGCACCCTCTTGCTGATGCTGCTCCTCTGCGGCGTTTCCGTCGCTGATGCCCTCCGGTGTACTCGGCGATGGATGCTTGGCTCTCCACGCCCCACCCTCCTTCCACGCTTTGTTCATGAAAACTGAGGGTTGCACGCTTCCCCCAACCTCGTGGGAAAGTGAGGCTTACCCCTTGAGGCCCATACGCTCACCTCCGATAGATATCTCACCCCTGTCCGCCTCTTTTGGATGTGCGCCCTCCGCAGTCTGCATTCCAAGTTCCTCGGCCCTCTTGCCAACCCCACTGTCTCCCGTTTTGACTCCCATTTCTTCCCCATTCTGCCCATTTTTCTCCCACACACCACCTACTACCTGCGCCCTCGCTCTTGGCCGTGGTATGGCCGTCTTGAGAAAGGCAACTTGATGGTCTACAGTACATGAATAGCGGCAACCACCTGTTGTTTTCGGCCGAAAAACGACTTGCTGCGCGATAGCTGGTGGGCGTGGGAACACAGCAAGTTTGTTTTGTGCCCATTGGATGTATTTTCGGAAAGTTTCGCGCGGTGTGTGAAGTAAGGCATTTTTTCTACTGTTGGTTTCGGCCGAATGACGGCTTGTGTGACACCCGGGGGCCTGGGATCACAGCGCAATTGTTTCGTGCCTATTGCAAGTGTTTTCGGAAAGTTTCGCGTGGTGCCGTAATTATGACACCGGCGAGGCGGTGCTGCGGCCACATTCTTGGGACGTATCTCGGGAACCCCATGTTGATTTCGGCCGAATATCGGCTTACGGGACAGACAGCTGGTGGGCGTGAGAACACAGCAAGGTTGATGTTGTGCCCATAGGATGTGTTCTCGGAACGTTTCGCACGGTGTCGTAAATATGGCTCATTTACGACACCGGCGAGGTTGTGCTGCGGCCACATTCTTGGGCGTATCTCGGGAACCCCATGTTGGTTTCGGCCAAAGGACGTCTTGCGTGGCAGCTGGGTGCCCTGGAAACACAGCGCAATTGGTTTCGTGCCTATTGGAGGTGTTTCGGAATGCTCCACCGGCCTTTGAGCCACCGAGCCCCCGTGGGTGGATGTTTCTCTGCACCCACTAGTCCGATTGGGGTGTTCGATGGCTTGTTGTATGGTAGCTGAGAGCCGTGCCAACACAACACAATGCAAGTCTTCGTAGGGCAAACGGCGCACTGTAAATAGAGTTTGGGCTGGTGGAGCTGCTCCTACCGGCCTTTGAGCCACTGAACCCCCGCTTGTGGGCCTTTCTCTGCACCCACTAGTCCGATTGGGGTGCTCCGTGGCTTGAAAGATACCCGTTATCCGTGCCAACACGGTGCGGTTAGATTTACTGTAGGGGCGGTTCAGCTATGTGACGGAAGGTATTGCGAGACTAATTAGTGGCATTTACCCACCCACCCACCCTAGATGCTGCGGAACCCCCTCGTTGACCATACCGTAATAGTCGGGCATGCGGGGAGTTGGCACCGGGTGTGATCGTTTTTTGTAAATGTTTTTTCCTCGGGTTTTTTATCGCACCCCAGTGCCATCTCTCCGACCGGTGCCATCTCTCCGACCCCGGTGCGGAAATGCAATTTAATCGTTTCGTTTTGAAATTTCAAGGCACCCCGGTGCGATCTCTCCGACCGGTGCCATCCCCAATGAAATACACACAGACAGGTGTTGAACGCACGCACCCCCGTGTCATCTCCCCGACCGGTACGATATTATTGATACCAGTGAAGGCAACCCACACACACAGTCTTCTTCACAGGCTAGTTGACAATGCTATTGATCGGTACAGAACCACACGTACGTGTAGGTACCGTTGTTGCTGGTTGGAAGCACACCGGTAACTGCAACGTAGGCTGTTGCGTAACAACAGTGCTCCATGCAGCAGGTGATATTTCTTGTGTTTGATGCGAGTTTGGCTATGGCGTGACAACAACAAACGATGTCGTTTCCATCTGAGGTGGTACAGCACACACGGTGGTATCAATTGTTTGTTTCCCGCTTTCGGCCTTCTTCTACGGATACCAATACGTAAGCAGCAGTACAATAGTTTCGGGTTGGGTAAGGTGTGACGTGCGGCTTGTACAGTTGTGTGTTTGGTTGAGTGCGGTTGGAACTTCCATACCAATTAAAACAACTGGCATCCCGCGTGTAGGAGTGGCGCTCCGCTGACACCGTCCCCACGTGTAAACGGTACGCACATGTACCTCATTCGGGAAGCTGGAAAAGAGCTCAATCTTGGATTTGGGGGTCGAAGAGATCGCACCCGGTGTGATCTCACCGACCCCGGTGCGTAAATCGAATTAAATGTTTTCTCGGGTTTTTTATCGCACCCCGGTGCCATCTCTCCGACCGGTGCCAACTCTCCGACTATTACGGTATACCTCTGCAGGAAAATATCGGATGTGAGTGTCCGATTGCTTGTATGAACACTACCGCGCCACCACGATAAAACATACTGTCGTCGCGCCATTATTTAGTTGTTATCCCATGTAGGCATTCTCGGTCTTACACATTGTACTCGGCCTCATTCGGCGACGGGCTGTGATGTGTGTTGAACGCTAGCCTGCGGGGACGGTACGCCTGTCTAGGTACAGCCAGTAGCACGACGAGGAAAAATAACACTATAATACTACACTGCTGTACAACAACAACAGCAAATGACGGGGGGGACACCTCCTCCAGTGAAATCAACTCGACACGACCCTCTCCGCTCCTGAAATTCTCCACAGGCACAAGAAGCCCGGTGTGTTGCAAGTCAGTTTAGACTTACCAACCCATTCCCCGCAAACACCGGAAGAACAAGACGTGAGTGTGTTGGAGGTCCTGTATGAAGGCATAGCCTACATACACATTGAAACGTCGCCTACGTATATATGGTGACACACAAAAAATGGTGGCGAGTCTAGTTCATGGCTAGCTAGTGAGGAGAGAGTAGGTGCAATCTTTCGACCTACAGGAACTGCGCACAGCACCGGAAGACAACTGGCAGAAAAGAACTTATATTGCAGTTAAGAACTTGAGCCTCAAACAATCCAAAATCTACGAACTTGGCCATAAGAACAGGTGCTCAAATACAACACGGTGTCCGACCCAAGCGCGAAAAGAACCACCTAAACTATGGCTGGCATTCACCGACATGGCGCGTGCAACCTCCGAGCGGGTCGCTTCAAAGGGCTCTTGGGCACACGAAACAAGAGCAAGGAGCACAAGCGCGAAACACGGGCCTTCTTCGACAAGCGCAAAACCGTTGGGCGCACCTCTCCAAACTACAAACAAAGGGAGCGCAACTCCTACTTCCCGAGAAGCACGATGACGCCTGGGATCACGCTGCCCGGTCGGAGACGTTCAAGGTTCATCCAGTGCACCACGGCCGGATCGAACGGGAGGCTGAACGTGCATGGATTTAACGATACTCGTGACGACCCACTCTCTAAAATAATTCAACAAACCATAACGCAACCTCTCGATTTGGACGGGCACACGTGCGTCTCGTACACTATCTACAACTCATTCAGTATGCCTGCCCCTTTTGGAATCAACCGATCGTCTCCTTTCTGCTACTCTTCTAGCTCCGGCCAAAAGCTACGGCGACACGCGCACGTTGACCTCGCCGCGGCAGAAACACACCTGTACGGGGACAAAGCGGGGCACAGGCGTCGGGATGGGGGATATGTATCGAGTTTTGGACCGGGGGCAGCAGGAATGCACGGCAGTGGGTCAGATAAACTGGAGCACTCCCGGGAATGAATGGCTGCTGTCCTACGGAGCGGCAATACCATTCGTGAGACTGGATGTCGCACGGTAGTACGGTCAAGCCGACGACATTTCTAGCCCCGCGCTAGCAACCGCAAGTGGTGCGCGCCTTTTCCACTACTGTCAAGCCATTGCTCTGGGATAGCTCGTCGCGAGTCGATTGTCTCCTCGCACGGTTCGCTCTTTTCCAGCAACTTGCGGTGTTCCCTACAGTCTCGTGTGCTTGTGTTTGCTTCGCTGTCTACTGTTCGACTCAGGGGTGCTCTCGTGCATGCATGGACTACTGGCCGTGTTATGTTTCCAAACGTGTCTTTGTGGATGTGCCGTTGTTGCGATCGGGAATGGAGTGAATACTGTCCAATCAGCCTGCTCTCCTGGACTCAAAACCCAAGTCTTTCGCGGAATACCATACGGTACACGCCGGGGCTGTAGACAACCGCGCCACGCACAGCGTGGACGTGTGCATAAGAGTCTTCGAAACGTAAACAAACGAATCTCGACTATATGGCGCCTTGCCGAAACTGACTCCATGGACATCGGTTGCCACGACTGATGTATCTCTCACGAAGCTATTCGACGCACTGAGTTGTCTTCTCGCTCGTGATAAAAATGTCAGTATCAACTGATAAAGACTGCTGTTATAGGTTTTCTCTTGAATACAACACAGTATACGATGTCACATACATCATTGGCGATTTCAGCACAAAACATGACGGTTATTAGTGTACGTGACATGGTACACTAAACACGGTAAAATCAGCTATTAAGGAAGTAAGGTCAACCTTTGAAGAACAATATTTCAGGAAGGGTATCTAGAACGATCCACTGACGGATGCGGTAGATTCCGTAACGTTCGTAATGTTTCCTAGATCGGGCATACTTTTTCTAGAACGGTTCCCAAGAACATTCTCAAGAAAAGTCCAGAATAAGATTAGAAAGGATTACGGAACGTTTCCGCAACAGTACTTTCGGTCTTATAGAACGGTATTTGGTTCCCGGAACGTTGCCGGAACGGTTCCGGACTGGTAAAAAGGTTCTTCGTAGTTTCGTCGTCAATCGACAAAAAATGCTCACCAGGCAAAACGCACGCCCCCCACCGGAGCTCACTCTGTTTCCTGCGTAGCTCAACAATACAACTAAATTGTACTTCGTACAACATACTTTTTTCATTTCTCTTTGAACCAAATTCCACATATGGTTGTAGACTCACGTCTACAGCACCTCCGCACACCTGTCAACAAGGTGTGGCACACGCTTCTGTAACCTTGCTTGCTCACTGCTGCTACCGCCGTAGCACAAGTCACTTGAAAAGATAGACTGCTGACTTTGCGTCATCAGCCTATTATCTTGTTTTTAGGGAGGACCTCTTTTCAGCAGATCTGACGTTCGCTGAAAAGAACACATCAAGCAATCTAGCAGAAGTAGGGAACTGTTCTTGACTACACACCCTAAGCCTTTGATTTTCAACAGCTCGAGCTCACTGCCAAACTATTCGGGGCTCCTGAATGTCCACAGGTAGACGAGATATGGATTGATGGATATTTTCATCTTCCCCAAAATAAAATTCACTCAAACTCTGTGACAGGCGGATAAATCTATATACGCATCTTCCAAAATCAAACACTCCTACAAGCAGGTTCTGCAAGCGATTGTTTCTTTCATATCTGATGCTCGTCAGCTTTCACAGACCAGGTACACTATGCGTGGTCGACCGTTGCTGAAGAATACACACTGTCTTACAAACACACCGCTGGGGCAATCCCGCAAAGATCGTGCCGCACTGGCGGTAGCTTTTCGGGTGTCACGGCGATTGAATACACTGTTAAAATAGTACATTCCGCAGAGTCGCCAGCATTTCAGCAGGCTTTGGCAATTGCTCCCCGGGTTTGTGTTCTGCCGCCCTTCTCTGCCGCAAGTCATGCCAATCAAGGGGTCACACAACACTCCTCTACTCTGCCCCGATTGGAGTGACGCCCTTCTGCTGTGGACCCCCTCGGGTTATCTTTTACGAAACCCCTGAAAACATCATCTTCCGCACACAGCCAACCCTCCACCCCACTAATCCCTCTTCTCGCGCACATGTACCTCAGTTTTCAGTTCGACAAATCTCGCTGTGCGAAAGACTCGTGGGAGAGGACAGACTTGGCCTCCAGAGCCCTTACAAATCCAGGGCCATCCAGCTGTGGCGCGCCGTCCACCTCGCGTGTGATGCCTGAAAAGTGGGCGCGGGTACACATAAATAAGTCCACAACATCCCTTGCAGCAGTGCTCATGTATATAATGCGCCCTCGTTCAGAACTCACCCACAAGGATTTGCATGTCACGGACACAAATGATTTACAAGTAGAGACATTCCGCTGTCGGGCAGAACTATGGTATCCACTTGACACAACTTTTGGTTTCATGTATACGTAGCGGAAAATCCCAGAAGCGCACAAACAGGAAATATACCGTATACGACACAAGATAACACACCCACCCATTTTTCAAAGACCGATTACGCCACGACGAAGAGGATGCATACAAATGAAACAACATATTTTCGGAAAGCTCTCGACGAGACAGCCTGAACGCCACCGTTTTCGGCGCTGTGACTCTTCCTGTTGTTGAGAAATCGAGATTTGAAAATCTGTCCAGGGGGCGTGTTATCTCGTGTCATTTACGCCTAAAGTTGGGTATTCGTCATAGCCAACCAAACCGCTCGAGAATCGGGGTCCCTCAAAGTCCACGCTTGTATTCAACGGGGGCTACAGCAGTATGCACGCACATAAAGACAGCAGTAATGCCCAAAACGTCGATCGACGACGTTCTAATTTTGGTTGTGTACGCAGCAGTATTTAGCACATTCCGCAAGCACCTGCTTGTCGTGGATCCTTCGTTATTTTATTTTTTGCTCTCGCAAGCACAGAAAAACTTATCTCTTCCACATGTAAACGAGTCTGTACGATAGAATAGGACAATAGGACTCTGCTGTGAACACTGTGTTTCCTCAAGCAGCATCCCGGTTCTTGTTGGTTTCTGAACCCACAGAAAAAAAAAAAAACTTCGTTGGGAGAAGTTGTAGATGGAAGCGGGCTAATATCAAGATGTAGGCGGATCGGTGTGTAAGAGGTAAGAGGACCACACTCATTTACACATTTACATCATCTTGCGGGCGTATCTGGGCTAGGAGTTGACATAATGCTGTGCAACACCCCCCCCACCCAACGGAGTTCGTGATCCCTCTCGCCCGGGCGTAACATGAAACATGAACACGATCCCACAGAGTTCAAGGACAGAGAATGCTACAGAACTGCTGCCGTTTGGGCCGCAACTTCAAGTTCCCATGCAGCACAACCAACGCAGCGGGCACTCACATACGGTTGCACTTCCGCTCATGGGAACCATGTCCGCCGCCTTCGCAGGGGGCACTCCTTGCGTCAATATATAACCAGCGCCGGCCACAACGATCGCCGCTGCTACTTCCTTAGGCACGCACATCGTTGGCGTCATCGAGCCCACGCGCCGGGATGACGCAACCAGCGGCGTCCGGTGTTGTACAACAAAGCCTTGCGCGCCGAGCGGCGCCGCCAGCGCAGCAAAGAACAGGTTGACTAGGCGCATGGTGGCTGCTGTGTACGTGTGTTGTTACTGTTGAAGTGCGTATGTCTGGCCTGTGTGACGTGATGGGAGAGTTGGCAGTGAGGAGGAGCTGGGAAGGGATTCGTTGCGTCATATATAAAAAAAAAGGGCCCAACAAGGGGGTCACGCAGCGCGCAGTGCGGGAAGGGGGTGGTTGGGTGCGAAAGATGCGCGATCTCACCAGTGGTATCGGCGGGTGCACCACGGAAAGAACAGATATGCGCGAATTTATGTCTGTATATCCCACGGTAGCAAGGGTAGAGGGTTTTACGTGTGCACGTACACGTGTGGCAGGGTTGCGAGAGTGCGACAAGCAACAGGTCCATCATGTTGTAAGACTACCCAATTCATTTCTGAACCTAAATCGGTACAGTCTTAAAAGTACCACGCAAACACAGGCACTATTTTTATTTTTTTTGTAGCCCACCGCGCCGTGATCGGAATCCTACCAGGACAAACAAAATATAGTATTGTGGTGCACGCGCATGGACCCACAACCCAAAATGCAGAATGATCGGGTAGATCACGAGAGGGGAAAAGGAACGAAACCTCTTCGTGTCATCTTACAATTCCAATGGACAAATAGCCACAGCAGTACATACATCCTATACGAATGATGTTGCGGGAGGTGGAGGCGGGGGCGATCGGAAACACAGAATGCGCCTACACTACGAAAGGCAGTATTGACAGAAACGTGACCGAAATCAATACACCCAAATGGCAGATATCCTATTTGGTTCGAGTGATCGTTCCATTGTGGAGCACCTTCTTCATGTTGGTAGCGCACTTTTTTCCACTTTGCAGCACGAGACTATTCTGTACATCATCAGCAGTATAACTTCCCCTTTACTCCTCCTTCGAACAAATACATACTGGCAAACTGGCCAAACACACCGAGACAGGCTCACAAGCACTTTTTATTCACATTTGCCCTTCCTCTTGTTCTTCCGAGCAAAAATATTTATATTACTTGGCAAAACACCAAGACATCCTTACATTAAATCGGTTCATAGGAGTACACGGGCACCACCGGTGTGCGAGTAGAGGCAAGCCAACACGCCCCGAGTACGTACCCTTTACTCCTGCCCGGCTTGCACAAGCACACACTCTTTGCGCAACAAAGACACACACAATTTGACGGAAAATACTTCATGAGTAGCAATAAAAAAGGCAGGAACGCAAAATCAACGCCAGGGCTGCCTTCGCGGCGATTTTTGTACAAATCTATGAAACAGATAGGGAGGGGTTCCGTATCCTTATCCCCAAACCCTGCTAAAACCAAGCACAAACTCCTCGCGGAGGCTATACACCGGAGCCGACACAACATCACAGTCGCGCCGAAGGCACGTCGGCGGAGGCGACGACCGCCTCTCGTGGCCGTCGTCTAACCATCGATGGCGCAACGCGCGTTGCCTCACAGGGAGGAGGACGCAGGAGCTCGAAGACCGGGCCGCACTTCATGGCACGGACAAGGTTTCCCCTCACGGCGAGACGGCCGCTCATGAAGGCCTTCTCGGGGCTGAGCTCGCCGGCACAGACGGACGCGAAGTCGGCGTCGGAGAGGTGCAGGATTGCGTCAACGACCTGGTGGGATAGGGATAACGGGTATCGACGGGGCATCATGATCGTCAGCGGCGGCATCGGCAGCGGCAGCGGAGCCGCCGCCGCCGCCGCCGCAGCAGCAGCAGCAGCAGCAGCGTTGTAGTTAAAGCCAAGATCAGTCAGAGTAGCGACCGGTCAGGAATCATGAGCAAAATTGGTTAAGTGTGCCTCGCTGGCCGCTGGTAATTGCTTTCGCATGTGAGCTACTTCGAAGTATTAAACTTATGTGCCCGTCTCTTTGCGTGCGTGTGTGCGAAGGTCGGCATCTTTGCGAAAAACACCGCACAAGGCGAATTCGGTGCTACCGGCGACTAAACAATCGGCAAAAAAAAACAAAAAAGACGTCCCACCTATTAAGGAACCACCGCAGACACGGCCCGTGACCTTTACCGTACACATTTGTCGGCGGGTGAGACCGAGCAGCACATGTCACAGGACGAAAAAAATGCCACTCTTATAGAGTACGAGTATTCTTGGCGCTGTCAGGGCGACAACACGACTTCACTTCCACCCACTATTTAGTGGGTCGCACATATAGGCTGTCAAGGAGACAACACGACATTACTTCCATACACGAGCTGGGTCGCGCAGATAATACTTACCTGCTTGCATCGCACCACCACAGCAGTGAGTTATGTATTTCCTGCAAATCGACGGGCGCGTGCCATCTGACAAAGTCAACAGCCGATTGGCAAGTTGCATGGTGTCAGGCGGCGAAGGTACACGCTTCGTAAAAATGTCGTGCCGGTAGATGAAAGCTTCGTGTCTGAAAGCGCTATTTACTACTTCATGGGACGGATCATGGGTGGGAAGAAATTTCTTGTGAAGGCTTGCCCCACCTGAGAGTTCGTTTCTCCCTCTCGAACAGCACCGCCTGCCCCTGTTGCGGCCCCCTCTCAAGTCCAAGAAGAGGCCGTTGTCGTCGCCCACTAATAAGCGCAAACAGCACCCCACCTGCGAGAACCGGGGCCGGCGATACAACCGAGAAAAACGTAAATCTCCCCAAAACAAATGGCTCCACGTACCGCCAACCCCCCGCGCATCCACAAACCCAGCTAAAACCGAAATCCCGTAGGCCATAAACCAGCGCGACACTAACATGCTTGCAGCTGGTATGCAGGTAAAAAAACACACACACATGCACGCGCGCGCCCGCAGCTAGCATGTGACACCGATCTGGTACAGCGATACTGGCGTCTACGCACCTTCTGTACCATTCTTGTTCTGGTCTCCGTGTCCTTTAGCATGGCAGCCAGGGCCTCCAGCATTCCCCTAGTATCCCCGCTCGCCATGATCTTCTCCTATTCCTCCGCCAGCTGCTGATTGGCCGTGAAAAAGACAACGACGATGATTCTGGGCGAGTCTCCGTACAGCAGCAGCAGCAGCGGCAGCACTGGGGGAGCGACAGCAGCGGCAGCGGCACACACAACAAACAGGGAAAGGGCTGCTGAACCCTTGTCGCGCCAAGAAGGAAAGGGAAGCGCAGAGCCGGAGGAAGGGTGGACGAATTCCCGTCTGCGTGACCCCGGCTGACGCGTCGAACACCTATCGGAAGGCGTGGGTCGGTGCCCGGTAAAAACGGGACAAAAAAAAAAACACAATTGTCCAGAAGCGAGAAGGAACGTCTGCTGGCGAGGGGCTGTTCGAGCAGCCACCCGTGCAGCTTGAGATGTGTGAAAAAATAGCTGAAAACAAGGACGCTCTGCTGTGTCAGGAAGCTAAGGCTGGCGTTGGATGTACAGCAGCAGAGGTTCCTGTTTAGGGGCCGGTGCCCTGAATAGTGTCGTTCAAATCTCTGGACAAGAGTGTCCACTGCTAAACAAAAGCCTATGTCATTGGTACGTCTCTGTTCTGAATGGTGCCGGTGAATATTCTGGGCACAAACCATCACTAAACAGGGGCTTATCTACTGCATGCATTTAGCATGCGAACCGCAGCGGCGACCGGATAAACTTCAATGGTTGCACCCAAGCGTGGGAGGGTGGGTGGGTGAGGGGCTCAGGCCATGACATTGCTTTGGGCGTTGAATGTTTTGGCTCGGGTTGAAGGCTGACACGCCAGTAAGCAACAACAAAACACACGTGCTACTGCTGTAGAGCAAAGGAAACAGGAACACTAGTTCACAGCAGCTTTCAAAGGCACCCGTACCGAGGGCACAGAGCCGCACGGCCGGGTTCGTACACCCAGGAGGTGGACGCTTGATGTGATGCATGTGTCGTCTGCTCGTGCTGCTTCCGTGACACGCAGCATACGACTTCCAACAACAACAACAACAACAATGACACCGCCAACAACGACAAACAACAGCAAGGACAACGACAGCGAATACAATGACGACGGCGACAAGGGTCTACACATCTACCGGCCTGTATGTCCCTGCCAGAGAAAATGACACGCATTGACACATCTTTTCGGGGCTCAGTCTCGCCTAAATTCGATCATGCCCTCCCCGCCGCCCGAAAAGCTTCCGCTGCAAACGTCCCGACATTTTTATCATGTCCGCTGGCCTGCTCCCCCCGTTCCTACTACTCTCATGATTTCGCGAAAAAAACACGAAGACATAAGACGGAACAGCAGCCCGAGTAATCCCAGAGGATTGTTCCGCTGGGAGGGTCTCGGAGGACCAGCGGTTTGGGACCAAACAAATAGTGCCCAATTTTTTGTGTGCGGGTGGAACGTTATCGACGTAGTCATTTCTTTTGACCCGCAGAAGAAGAAAAGAGGCGGGGGGCAGGGGGGGGGTGCAGACAAACAACGCCGTCCGCGTGCCCCCCCCCCGCCACCCCTCTCTCTTTCCGTGTCCAATGTGCACCCATGGTTGGTTTTGGGTGCGATGCAGCGGCATGCTCTGGTCACGAGGGCGTTTGGGATGCAAGGGTGGGCGCTCAAACCTTTTACTCATCGTCATCGCCCCGATGTGTACAGACATGTTGTGTCTGGAAAAAAAAAAAGGTAGGGTGAGGCGGTCGGAAATACAACAGAAAACATACACGCAAGAGAACACACGCTACGCACACCAAGTCTCGACAACGAGCCCAGTACACAAGAATAGGCAAGGACTTCGACATATTTGATCAACCCGCTGTGTTGAGAGTTGTTTTCTTTGTGGTGGCAATGTTGTACAAGAGGAGGTCTGGTGTTGACGCATTGTAGTACAGCGTGTAAAAAGCGTGTACGTGTTTCAACCTTCGATGCATACAGCAGTCTACACACCTAGTTGATTTGATTATGGCAATGTAGTACATCAAGAGGTCTGGTGCTGACGCGCTGTTCGTGATAGAAAGGTGTGCGTGTTTCAACGTTCCGATTGATACATTCCTCACTTGGGACAAAAAAAATTGAGAAGGTGCGCCATTCCCAACCGAGGAAGCTCAACGGTATCGCAATCCATGCCATAAGCGAGCGGTGTGAATTCCGTGCCATGCGGTCGAACCGGATGATCGGGGAGGAGATACCCATCAGCTGTGTGTTCAGTCGGCTGAGGTGTCTCCGCCGAGAGCGAAAGGATTTGTGAGGAGCAACATCAGTTTACACACATGCGGTCCACACGCATTACAACGATGAGAAAAGTAGCCGTGATTCGCGGGTCGCCGCAGCGTGTAGGGATACCCCAACGCAATCAATCGTCCACATCATTCTCTCCCTGCTACGATCTGGCTGGAGTACGCATGGAAAGCGGCAGTGCTTGCACTTGTACATGTATAGAAGTAGAAGTAGACCATATGTCACGCAAGATATCATACCCCCTGGACCGATCTTACTACCATTTAGCATGGTATTTGGCTTGACATTTTCCTCTGCTCCACCACCACATGTTTTCGGAAAGAAAGCGCTCTACGAGACGGTTCCAGTCTCCATTTCTGGCGTCACCACTCCGTGCGGCGCAGAGTACTACAAGTACTGCTCCTGTAGTCGGGTTTTGAAAAAGCGGTCCATATGGGTGTGGTATCTTGTGCGACCTGGGCAGGAATGTCAAGGGCGCCCACTCAACACAAACAAAAGTGCAGTCTAAGACGGCGCATGCTCATCTCCGGGTGTACCTTTTATCTCTCTTTCTGTTCTTCTCCTAGGCAATAGCCTACTGCGTCACCCCTCTCGCTTGTCTCCCTTGAAGCGTCCGCAGAAGAAGCAGTGGCTGTGTGTGCTGTACGAAGATCAAGATACCGCCGTTGTGATGGGTGGTGTGGCTGGGGGCTAGTTGCTTTCGCAGGCCGTTCTCTCGTTCCCTAGATGAGGCAATACCTCGACCACCGACCGTGCCACTCCCAGCCACGCACGAATGCACCGTGCGTACTGGTCGCCCTTTGAGCGAGGTACTTCAGCGCGGGGACTAAGGGCAGCCGCGCTACGAGAGTGCTACAAACCTGCAGCAGTGGACCGGCTACACCCTATATAGTAAGAAAACATATAGGAAATAGTACAGGAATGGTAAAACCTAATCCCGCCGCGCTTTTCGTGAGGAGTTGTGGAACCCATGCGGCCTCGGATTAGTGCAAGAAACAGGGGACAGAGGCCTGGCAACCCCGAGTAACGGCTGCGCGCTGCGTGCGCACGCCGCCTGGCAATTTGCGACCGCACGCTGCAGGCAGTACGCAGCAGGCAGTGAAGCAACTGCTGCTGGAGTATGTAGCTCTACCACCCTTGCTGCCAGGATGGATGCGGGTGGCATCCGGGTGGCACGTACGCGGGTAGCGGCGGCGGTGTTGCGGCGTCGCGGCCGCTACTCGTCATTCCGCCAACGACCACACGGCGGCGCAGAGGGACCACCACCAGAGCTCGACCAACGGCACGGCAGTCCCTTCCGGGTCCTCCCGTGGCTTTGACTAAACAAGCTTGAAACTATTGTGCATACAAACACATAACTTGTATACAAGCAGCTTGTAGCTGCTGGAAGGTCAAGCTGGGATGTTCGGTAGAAAAATGCATGCGAATGCAATACTGCTGTATGTAGTGTGTGTATCATCGTGGATCGTGGGTCGTGGATCGTGGAATGTGGGTCAAGCAGAGGTCCCCCTCCCTTTCTTTGTACCTCTTGCACTAGTGCAGCTGCGGTGTGCCAGCGTAGTACTCACCAATGTTGTCGCCATGAAGGGTGAACATCTGTAATTAGGTAAACCGCACGTAACCTGAGACCCGGGGAGCACTCTGCTGTGATTGGCAACGTCGGTGAGTCGGTGATGCACCTCTCGATCGATGCAGCAGCAGCAACAACATATGATCACCCGGCATACACTACATAATAGTCTATCTATGCTCAGATGCTATCGCCGTTGGGTAAAAGAGGCCTTGCTTTGCAAGCATCGTGCTAACGACTCAATCCAAGAGTTGTTGGTTTGTAAAAATGCTCCAGTACTGTTGTTTGTGCGTACATCAGTAGTAACTCGACCACCGGCGAAACAAGACAGACAAAAAAAAAACAAGCGGCAGCACGCGCGCCGTGGAGGGGAGGGGGGGTTGGTTTTCGACGACGGCAGCGGTCTCATACAACCCTCCGATCAATCGCATCGACCGTTGTATGCACAGTGGGAAGACGGCTTTCCCGTATCTAAGCAATTAACCACGGCGTTAAAAGAACTTCAAACTTCAAACTGTATCTAACAAACCCGTCAATCCCACCTTGACCGCACATGGTCACCTAGTTCCCCTCGGCAATAATGAGAAGGTTACAGTATAGAACCACGCGATAAGCAGACGTAATCAACGCACGGCTTGGCGAGGTCTCTGCAATCTGCCCCGTCACAACAACACCAAGTAAATGAGGTACCGCTCAAACGACACCAGCCTCAAAGAGAAAGTAAAAGGTCAACAGATGAGTTCCTGTGGCTGTCGTGGAAAAGCACAACACTATTGTTTTTCCAAGTACTGGAGCGGGAGGACCCAGACCGCCTAAAGCAGGCCATGCTCGCGATGGCTGAAGTGTTTGTATCGACAAAAGTGTTTTTGGTGGTGCCCATGTACATAGGCATCTTGAAAAAAAACGAGAGGGGTGCATTGATTCTCTGTACGGAGATGGTGGGTGGCCCAGGAGGGTGGTACATGGTGCCGAAACCGTGACCGTTGTTTCGGCCACGAAGCAAGATAAGGGCTGCAAGCCTATTTTGCGAGCATTTGAACGAACCTGACATGTAAGCACGGTTCAAGCAGCCTTCGTTGGTTCGGGGGCCACGTTTGAGAAACAGTAGTTGAGCTCAACCGCACCTGTGGCGCCCCCAGCACCGAAAATGCACCGAATCCCACGCCCGTAGGCTTATCTGTGGGAGGGGAACAGGCCGTGTACCACCCTATCAGAGATGTTTTCCCCCCCGAGAACGAGACAAAGCATGGAAAAACGAATACATTCGT